CCCCCCATAGCTTGTAGCTGTATTGAGAGAAGTAAAATATCTTCTGAGGTTGAAGAAGTCAGACATACCAGATTCAGCCTTAGCCATCTTCAAGAAAAGAAACATTATTTTAAAGGTGTGTATTTTGGGGTTCTGAAATATTTTTAAAAATGTATTAATTATTAGAATATTTATTATAAGAATATAACATTTTTATGCTTCTAAGGTAGAGGGACTATATTTGGCAGTTATAATATACATAGACCTTTTCTTTGCCTTTGTATAGTACATTGGAAGTCTTGAACTCCTTGTGCAAGGATATAATAAGCTGAAACAGACACTTCTGGAGGTTGAATACCCACTGATTGAAGGTGAACTGAGGGAGGTGGATGACCAGCTGAAGGAGGCCACGACATTCCTTACCTGGCAGGATGACTGCTGGGATTATATTGAGAAGGTAAAGAGGACAGTCACTGAGCTGGAGTGGCGAGTTCAGCAGACCCAAAGCAACATTAAAGTGATCCAGCAGATGATGAGAGGCTGGGCAGAGTGCACACTCCTTCCCAGGAGGGAGCACAGAAAGGAGACTTACTTCACTTTGGAGGACAAGGGTGATTTGTTTGCTAAGAAATACAAATTAATCCAGGAAGATGGCTACAAGATACAGAACTTGGTGGAGGTAATTTCTTTTAAGATTTCAATGTTTGTAGAAGATTGTTTGATTAATTTTACAGAAAAGCAAAAAATGTAATAGGTTGTGAAAGAGCTTTATGTATTTTTTTAAAAAAAATATACTTACTGTTGTAAAACTGTTTAACACATCATTTTGTTAAGGGGCCCTGGTGGTGTAGTAGACCACATATGGTGTTACTAGCTAGAAGGCTGGTAGAGATATTTACCTTCATTTATGATTTCTTCAGGGATCTCTGGTGGTATAGTGTGTAGGTATCTGTATTACCAAGCCAAAGGTGACAACACCTCTCTAGTGGTTCAAATTCCCCATCAGCCCTGAGGGAGAAAAATGAGCAATCTCCTCTCATGTGACTTCTAGCTTCTACAAACCTGCTATAAGGTCCTCGTGAATCATTTCTAACTCGACGGCAGTGAGTTGGAATGTGTGATTTCTGTAGATCTTACTACTTTCATTCCTGAGGGAAGGGGTTGGGATGTGGTCAGCTTTAACTAGAGAGGCTTTGGAAAAGATCCTTATTTTTCTTTTTATTGTACCTTCTTCTGGATGTTGTTCATAGTGTCCCCTGTTTGTTGAGTGCCCATTATTTGTCAGACACCTTAACTACCATTATCTCCTGCTACCTCCTTCTAAGCAGTTTAATCACTCTTAGCAAATATTTGACTTTTTTCAAATTTGAAACAGGCACTAACCTACAATTAATAATGTAAGAAAAAGAAAGAAAAAAAATAGAAGATGAAACAAGACAAAATTCAGAAAGTAGAAAAAGAAAGAAAACTTTGAAGAAGTTTATCATCTCATGTAATTTATTTCTTATGATGAGAATATAGGTAATATTCATTTGACACCAGCTTTCAGGAAATCAAAATGCATGTTGCTTTGGGAAAATCTGCTGTCAAGGACCTCTCGAAAATGCTAACAAACAACAAGGTCAGTCTGAAAACTAAGCTGTGCCTCATCCAAGCCATGATCTTCTCATTTGTTTGCTTTGCATCTGAAAGCTGGCCAATGACTAAGGATGACAGAAGAAAAATTGATGCCTTTGAGTTGTAGTGTTGGAGAACAGTATTGAACATACTGTGGATTCTCAAGAGAACAAACAAGTTTGTCCTGGAGAAAGTGAAATCAGGGTGCTTCTTGGACGCAAGGAAAGTGAAAGGCATGCTGTCAGGAGGGGCCGATTCTTGGAGAAGGAAGTCATCCTTGGAAAGATAGAAGGCCCACACAAGACCCTCAACAAGATGAATTAACACAATGACTGTGGCAATGGGGTCAGGTGTGGTAGAGGTGATGAAGTTGGCTCAGGATAGGGCAAGGTTCAGAGCCTTTGTTTATAGAGCTGCTATGAATCATAGTCAAGGGCACATAACAGTATACTGTGCCATCTAGCGATAAGGACAATGGCAACAAATAGAATATAATAGAAGTTAATTTACAGTTTGTTAATTTATAGTGAATAGTTAGGAAAGTCTCTTTTTAAGGTTGTATTTGTCCAAAGTCTAGAAACAGAACAGCAGTATGTATATCCTGTCTCCATACCTTTTCTTTTTTTTTCTATATTTTATTAATTTTCATAAACATTTACAGAGATTTTGGGTTTCCATTCATTCCTTGTTGCACTATTCTCTCTACCCTCCTCCCAGTTTGTTCTTGTCCAAATGCCACAGTGCTTGTCAAAGCCTGTTCTGATTAATCTTCTT